GATCTTTCTTTTTGACCTCAGCCTCAATAATGGGACAAGAACTCATACCCATCTTATAAGTATGATCAATATTGAGTGAATCAATCTAAATCATAACATGGAAAATATATTTTTTTCCTAGGGGAGCCATAATGTAATAAGATGAAATGCTAGCTAAAACGGAAACAGCTTTTTTACATTATTATAGAGAACTGTTCAGTTTGGGGGCCCCAATTTTCTTGAATCTCTCTATTTTAAAATTTGCTTTAACTTTGAAAAAACTTCAAGGTTTATCACAGTAGTCTTTCAGTGCAAAGAGCATCTGTGCAATGACTTTATGCAGACAAATTATATAAAAGGAGTATCCGATAAAAGCCTGAAACTTCGAAGTTATAGTTATTTCCAGAGTCTAATATCTATACCAAAGATTCAGAGATTTATAGGACTTATTCTAAGCTCTGGGTTAAATTACATTTTTTCCCTCTCCCTCTGGCAGTGTCTATAAAAGGGAATCTTTTCAAAGTTAGTGGCCTAAGAAGGGGTTTTCAATTATGAGATGAAGTCACATAAAGGTTTTTCCCATCCTTCAGGCTTTTTCCTTGTTTGTGTTGTTTGGTTCAGAGGTATATATGTTACCTGCATCTAATTATGCTGCCATATAATCAAGGTTGGGAGTCAACTATAGATGCATGATATTGAGAAAATTCTCAGATCATCCTCTCATGTACAGCTCAAAGGGTGGTTTGGAAATAACATCAGGTTGTTTTGATAAACATATTTCTCTTTGCTTTTTATGTTGTTCCTAATTTAGCTTTATTCAGTTTCATATTCATATATTCTCTACATTTATGTATTTGAAGAGCCATGTGAAAAAGTCTACCAGAAATCCACCTCAGACAAAAGGTCTTCAAAATTTTTCAGTCTTTCCTCACCTGGAACAGGTTATTTTTCCTTTAAAAATATAATCAGGTGATAGAGCTAGGTATGGCCAGGCCCATATATATGGAGAGTAGACTAGACTTCATATTGTTGCTATATCCTAAGATTAAAGTTTAGTGGTGACTTCATGGAAGATCAAAGTGTATTTTTATGGAAAAGCATGAGTCTCTACTCCTTCTATGATCAATAATCTCTCTCCTCTCTGAATAAAGGAAGGATGCTAGCAAGAAGTAATTCCACCATCAATTCCTCCTATTTCTTGATTACTTTGTCCCCAAAAGACTAAAGCCAGAATCTAGGGTTGTGGTAGAAGACTTGAAG